AACGCGATGTAAAATACTAAAAACAGGAACATGTCTGTGTTGGTTTATGCCATGAATTTGGCAGATGTTTGAAGCCACTTAATCACTTTAATATCCACTTTAAAGCTATGAATTTTGTGTTGAGATGATTTAATTCTAACTTGGCCAACATTAATAAATCAGGCATTAATTAAAAAAAATGCCTCACCTGTCCTTGTATCATGTGTCCACTAAAATGGCAACAGTGTAGAGGGGTTCACTTTCAAATTGACAGCTTGGAGGAGCGTTCTTTTCAATGTTTTGATGCCGCTGTCCATATTGTTGTCCTCTGAGAAGGCGCTTTAAAACGGTGACGGCTGGGATTACATCAGCTGCAGTAGTTAAGTTCGTTGTATTGAAGGTCACAATGGAGCTTCCTCCTCGCGGTACTGCGACTCTGCAGACACTGCACGTTGCTGTCTTGTGGTGCTTCTAGTGTAAAATACTTCCACACGGCGGACATGTTGCGATGAAAAGTTGGTTAGCTGTTAGCCACAGTGCTACTGCACATTGTAGCTGGCTGCAAACTATGAAATGGATTTCCTGAATGTGAGGCGGGTCTTATTACCCTGGATTTCATGAAACACGTCTCCGTTCAGGAAATCTATTCCATAGTTTGAAGCCAACATGCATCATGGATCGGAAATCTCTGCAGGTTGGATTGGAATTTTTTTTTCATTTACCCTTTATTTATCCAGGTAGTCTCATTGAGCCACGAGAACTCATTTTCAAGAGAGACCTGTTTAGGGAGCAGATGGTGGGGGTTAAGGGCCTTGCTCAGGGGACCAGGGTGGGGCGAATGAGAGTGGAGGGAGGTGTGGGTGTTTCACAATTTCCACCCACATTTTGATGTTAACGGTAACGGGAGGTGAACCTGCGACTTTCCGATCACAAGCCCATCTTCTAGCCTCTGCGCCACCACTCCCCCCCACAATCGGAAAATGGATCGGTCACATTGTCACTGATACCCGATCCAGAAGTTTTTTCGATACTGACATTGATATCGGAACGGTGCATCTCTATTAGGCACACCACCTCATTCTTGTCAAACTTTGAACCTGAGCAGTTTGTAAAATGTTAAAGTTATTAAACCATAAAACCTGAAGTAATATGCTTATACTGACACCTTGGGTATGAGCATCTGTTCAGAGAAGGAACTGATTTTTTTTGTTTTGGACCAAGTTGTAGTTTCCCTGAAGTGTTTTCTGTTTTCCACGCCAATAAATGTTCTAATAGTTGGACAAACGCTGTTTTTTTTTTTTTCAGCTTCAAATAATCCTAATAAATGCACATTTTAATATTAACACTTTCATATGCAGGCAGAATGAGACTAATCGTCTAAATAAACTAATTTAACATTTTGAGTGAAAGTGAAATGTAAATGCTGAAGCCTTAAAGATCCAGTAACTCCACTCAAATATACTGCAAGTTCCCTGCCTCCATTACTTTGTAACTTATGAACATATAGTGCAAGGATTTTTTTCACATCCATCCATCCATTATCTTCCACTTCTTCCAGTCAGGTCGTGGGGTCAGCAGATTGAGCAGTGAGAAAATGGAGTGAAATGTGATAAAATTCTGTGTATTATTTGTCCGATATAGTAAAACAATTCAGTATAAATTTGATTAATCAGGTCAGAGGAGAGGGATGCTATTTGAAAAAAACAAACATTTTTAATATTTAAACAAATCATAAAAAGCAAAGCTGTATTAAAATATTTAAAAAGTGGCTCAGTCTTATTGTCAAGGCTAGTGAAACAATGTAGCATTACTTTTTGTTCAGAGGTTCACATGAGGCGAAGGCTGCAAATAGTGTTATTTCTCCATGGTTAATTCCAGAAAGTAAAGTAGACATGAAAATTCTTGAAATGAAAAGAGAATGGAACAAAAATGAAATAGGGGTGAAAACTAGCAAATACATTAGAGAGACATATTTGAATTACCTGGAAATATATACAGATGGCTCAAAAAACACAAAGGGGTGGGTAGGAATAGGGGTTTATATTCCAGAGTTTGAAGTTTGTACATCTAAAAGAATTTCTGATCATCTTTCAGTATTCACAGCAGAAATGGTGGCAGCCATATTTAGTTTACAGTGGACAGAGGAAGTTAGACCGGACAGGGTGGTGATATGTACAGATTCAAAGGCTGTCATAGAAATCATTCAGTCTAAAGGAAACAACAGGAAAGATCTACTGCTAGAAATACAACTTATATTATTCAGGTTACACAGGGGAGGCATGGACGTTCATTTTTGTTGGGTGCCAGCACATGAGGGGGTGGAAGGAAATGAAAGAGCAGATAAATTTGCTAAAAAGGCATTAAAAGGTGAAATAACAGTAAGTATTCCATTAGGGAAAGGAGAGGGTAAATCATTAATTAAAGGAAAATAAATAGAGAAATGGCAGAAAACGTGGAATGAGGACAAGACAGGAAGAAGATTATATATATATTTTTTTTTTCATTTAGCCTTTATTTATCCAGGTTAGTCTCATTGAGCCACGAGAACTCATTTTCAAGAGAGACCTGTTTTAGGGAGCACATGGTGGGGGTTAAGGGCCTTGCTCATGGGCCCAGAGTGGGGCGAATGAGGGTGGGGGCAAGTGTGGGTGTTTCACCTACCCCACCCACAATTTTTTGATGTTGTCGGGGCCGGGGCGTGAACCGGCGATCTTCGGATCACAAGCCCACCTCTCTAGAAGAAGATTATATAAAATTCAAAAAGCAGTTAAGATAAGTAATTATAAAGAAAGAAGTAGAAGAGAAGAGGTGATAATAATGAGAATGAGGGTTGGACATACACTTCTAAATGATACAATGTACATGATGGGGAAAAGGAATAACAGTCGATGTGAGGAATGTGGGAAACAGAAAGTGTGGAACATGTTCTGATGGAGTGCATTAAATATACAGAAGAAAGGGAGAGATTGAAAGAAAAAGTCATAGAGGCAGGGAGAGTGTGGAGTTTAGGAGGAATATTAGGAACAGAAGGGGAGAAGGATAAAATAAGTGATGTTAGAAAAGAGTTGTTTATATATTTACATAACATAAATATTAAAAATAGAATTTAGGGAAAGGAGACCATGAGCTACACACTCTTGCTCAGTAGGTGGCGGTATGCACCTGAACGTTGTTTGCAATCCGCCAATTAAACTAAAAGAAGAGAAGAGGCGAAGGCTGATTGTTTTGTGTCTTTCGTTCGGTAATTTGTTGACGGTCCCTAAGAGAACCGCTGTGTTTTAAAGAGGAGGGAGCGCGCGGAGGAGATCTGACCGTAATCTCGCTGCCAGCAGCGGCTGAAACGGGTGGAAGACACCGCTGAATCCACGGAGCGAATGTGTCCAAGATCCAACCTAGAACTAAGTTCACCGAGGAGTAAAACCGTGGAGACAGCGGGTCCAACAGACTGGAGGAAGCTGTGGAGAAACATCGGGTCTTTTTGAAGGAATAATCTCAGATTACGAAGAGGAGCTGTCGAGTTGGAGAGAAAATGAGTTCAGGTTTGTTTGTTTCATTCAGCATCAGACGATGTTAGCTAGCTGTGGTTTCTAGGTAGTTGATGGATTTAACTTCTTAACTAAATCTGTTGTCTGTTTTTAGCTTAGCATGCTAACAGAAGCTAGCGCTAAGTGGACAAGATCTAGAAACTAAAATATTAGATCAAGAATTGGGAGGCTGTTTTTATTTATCTCTTAATAATTTTCAGTTTGGAGATGTGCTATCCAAACTAATGTCATCAAGGATAAAACAACAGTTTTACACATTTAGCAGAAAATATATTTTAGGCCGTGTCTGAATTCAGGGCCTGTTTGCTTAAAAAAAAAAAAACTTTATTTGTCAATTTACAGTTTACATAACAAGGTTCGCATCAAAAGAGAAGACAAATTGTTATACACGTCAATCAGAATATACAAACACAGGAACAAGAGAGAAACAATTCTAAAGGGGCTTATGGTTCTAACAATACATTCATTGCATATCTCAACAGTTTTTAGTGTATTTTTTTAAACTCAGTCTTCAATTCAATTCAAAAATACTTTATTAATCCCAGAGGGAAATTAACTTAATTCTAAGAATATAATACTTGACCAGTGTAAAAGCTTGGTTTCCTTCCAGAGTATTTTCTTCAATGAATGTGATGATATTTTGCCAGTAATAGTAGAAGATTTATAAGGTAGTCAGAACTGTTTTTATGAATACCTTTTTCAAAAAGGCCCAGCAACACGTTTCCATTGTGAATAAAGTTACATATTTTCTGCCAAAATAAATTGACAAAAGGACAGTACCAAAACTGGCGAACAGTTTCAGGACATCCGTCACAAAAAAACACTTAATGTCAATTTCTTTCTTGAATCTAGTTTTGATATAAGACTTAGCTAGATAGATTTTATAGATAATTTTGTAGGAGATTTCTTAAATCTTGTTTGTAATCAGATATTTGTTCGGAAGAAGCCAGACCCTTTTCCCATGATATCCCCTCAATTCAATTAAAAAATACTTTATTAATCCCAAAGGGAAATCATTTATTGTTGTAACTCGTTATCCTCATTTCATTAAGAGATGTTATAGATGCTGATGGCTGTAGGCAGGAAGGATCTCTTGTAAAGGTCCATCCCACAGTGGATCCTAAGAAACTGGCTGCAGATGCCTTCCGATCCGTCCACCCAGACTCGGCTGGCCTCTCAGTTTCTCTGGGCTGTAGGACCGCCCGAATGCCAGGCAGAACTCCTCCCAGAGCGATGGCCACTCCTCCCAGCAGCCTGCCGAGCTCCTCGTTGCTGCGGACAGCCAGCTGCAGGTGCCGAGTGTCATTCCCCAATCTGTTACGGAACCCGATCTGCAGTGCAGCTCATTTGCGCATGCGCTAAAAGGAATACTTCCGGGTCGCACGGATCGCCTATGCTAGATTAAGGAAAATGTACTAGTATAATTCCATTTATGAATAAAACTGTCTTAATTTACTTCGAAAAGTATGTGTTCTATCTCCGCCGATTTTCATGTTGCTAATTTGCGCCACTTGTATTTCCGTTAAAATCATTGACCTATTTACGTCATAGTTAAAATGATATGCAGCTTCTCCACTGATTGGCGCTGTTTCACCATGGAAGTAATTCATTCTGTATCTTGCAGGGTTTTTCTCATTCAGCCCAGGCTGGTGGTCAGGTTAATGCATTGCATATCATCTTAACCAATGATTTGTAATGGAAATATGAGCGGCGTAAATTAGCTACATCAAGATCGGTGGAGATAGAGCACGTACTTTTCTAGGTAAGTCAAGACAGTTTTTATTCATAAACAACCGCGATCTGTGCGACCCTGAAATACACTATGGATCGTGCTTCCATAACAGATTGGGTAATGACACCGAGGGACGATCCCGTTCTTCCGCTGTCATGAGCCGTGTTTCCTGCTAGTTCCAGGATCTTAGTGGTCAGACACTCGAGCACAGCTGGCAGGTAGATGAGAATGCGTCCACAGAACATCCTTTTCAACTCATTTGAGATTTGGGGCTGTAGTTGAGATATTATTTGAGCTTTTGAGATGTTAATCAGCTGCTGTTGGTTTTAGAAAACTGCCTTGTTGCCATGGTTACGCATCATAATAAATGTCCAAACTAAAAAAAAAATCAGTAAAAATCCTTCCAGCTGCACAGCATCTGATACCAGAGAATATAATCATCCAAAAATGTGATTTACATCCAGCAAAAGAGGAATTAAAGTTTCCAAAAGCAAAATCTCAGAATGAATGTAACAGAGCTGCTCCAACATGCAGCCACCTTGAGTAGCGCTATTCTAGAACCACTGGAACAAACCTGTTCCAATGCGGAACAACAGCTGGCTGTGGTGTGATGTTCTTCTGAAATAGGGCTCGTAGTTTATAACTTACAGGATGACAGGATAAACACATTTTCCGTACAGTTGTACCTGCTGGGGATGGGAGCCTGTATGCTTCAAAGTCTGGATTTGAGGCTCAGTGATGTCATAGCGTCACGACATTCAAAAATCATGGACGAGATGAGCGCCCCGCCATGGCAAGTTATCTAGGGGAAACACTGGAAACATTCATATACATAAAAAGTAAGTTAACACAGATTATTCTTTTAAAGCCAAATATTGTATTTAATTTTTTCTAAAAGTTATAATACAAATCTTCGAATCTGAATCGTTAAAAATAAAAATTAACATTAAAATAATGACCTTAGTTTTGTGATGTCACAGGACTGATTCTCTTTACTGCATCTCTGCTGGTACTGTAGTTAGAAATGGAGCCTTATTTAACTTCAAAGTTAAACAAGCTCAGGAGATAAATATTGTCGTGCTTTCACTTCCTGTGCGGCGATGGAGGTGTGCAGTTACTTGAAGATACACGACAAAAGAAAAGGATCTTGTTCATGAACTTTATTTCCTCCAGTAACTGGTAAGTTACAATGGCAGCTGAGTTTGTTCTGACTCCCAACACTGTGTAGTTTCAGTCTCTAGCTCTGGCACAGACAGCGTTTTGAAATGTCCATGCACTGAGCCTTGGAGTTTGCATGTTCTCTCCGTGCATGCGTGGGTTTCTCCAGGTATTCCGGTTTCCTCCCACAGACCAAAAACATGCATGTTAGGCTGATTGGTAACTCTAAATTGTCCCTAGGTGAGAGAGAGAGTGAATGTTTTTTTGTCTCATTTGTCTCTATGTCCCTGTGATGGTTTGGAGACCCGTCCAGGGTGTACCCCGCCCCTCGCACAGTGATTGCTGGACATGGGTACTGGCAACCCCCGTGACCCAAAATGGAAGAAGCGGGTAAAAGATAATGGCTGGATGGTTTTGGTCTGTGGGAGTATACCGGAGTACCCGGAGAAAACCCACACATGCACAGAGAGAACATGCAAACTCCATCCAGAAAGGCCCCCGGACCAGGATTTGAACTGGGACAAACTGTGCCCTGAAAGGTGGCACCGCTACCAACTGCACCACCGTGTTGCTCAAAAATAAATTAATCGTTAAAATTATAATAAAGATGCACAAATGCTCCTGTGTATCAGCCGTGTAGTTTAAAGTGTGAGAAAAAAGTAGCGGCTTTTACACCGGCAATTACGGTATTTATGATTTACGGACTTTGATAAATAAAGTAATATTTAAAGTTAAGCAAAAATGTTCAAATACCCATATCAGGTGATTGTGTTTAAACGTTTTTGGTATTTTTGATGATAAACAGACAATTGTTTGTCTTTTACTGAATAAAATGTTGTTCCTTTGACTTGCAACAGTTCTGATCCACAGAACATTAATCAACAACACAAGTGATGTACGAGTGATATAAAGTTATAACTGTCCATATTGTCTGTGTTTCAGTGTTTCCTGCGGATGATCAGCAGACTCTGCTGATCAGAGTAGATGCTCCTGAGGAATGGAGACCTGGTGTGAACCAGCAGGACCCAGAACACCTCCACATCAAGGAGGAAAAGGAGGAACTCTGGACCCAACTAGAGGGAGAGCAGCTCAGTGTGAAGGAGGAGACTGATGCCAGCAGGTTTTCATTCACTGCAGTTCATGTGAAGAGTGAGGATGATGAAGAGAAGCCTCTGTTCTTACAGCTTCATCAGCACCAATTGGAGGACAGATATATTATAAACAGGAGCTCAGGTGACCAGATGAAAGTAGAAGCTAATGGAGAGGACTGTGGAGGAGCAGAAACCATCAGGAAGCCAGATCTATATCCTCATGGAGATGCTTCCAGCTCTTCAGAGACTGAAGTCAGTGAGGATGATGAAAAGGACGATGATGGGAACAATCCTGACTCTCAGCTGGAGCACTGGAAGGAGAGCAGGTCTCCTGAGTCAGCTGTAAACTCTGTCAACAAATGTTTCAGCTGCTCTGAGTGTGGTAAACAATTTCTGCACAACCAGTCTCTTCAGAGACACATGGCATGTCATTCAACAGGAAGACGTTCAAGCTGTTTGGGTCATAAGAAAAGTGTAGAGTCACACCAGAAAGTCCAGACAGGACCAAAATCATTTAGTTGTGATGAATGTGGAAAAAGATTTAACAGAAAAGCAAATTTAAAATCACACAAGAGAGTCCACACTGGAGAGAAACCATTTGTCTGTGAGGTTTGTGAAAGAAGATTTAACCATAAAACAAATTTAAACACACACATGAGACTTCACACAGGACAGAGGCTTTTTGTATGTGAGATTTGTGGACAAAGATTTAGTCTTAAACACCATTTAAATGGACACATGAATCTCCATAAAGGACAGAAGCCATTTAAATGTGAGATTTGCGGTCATCGAACTAACCAGAAGCAAAGTTTAAACATACACATCAGGATTCACACAGGATATAAACCATATAAATGTGAGGAGTGTGGACAGAGGTATACCATCAAGAGTAGTTTAAACTCACACATGAGAGTCCACACTGGAGAGAAACCTTATGAATGTCAGAATTGTGGACAGAAATTTAGCCATAAATCAAGTTTAAGCTCACACGTGAGAGTCCACACTGGACAGAAACCATATGAATGTAAAAATTGTGGACAGAAATTTAGCCATAAGTCAAATTTAAACTCGCACATGAGAATCCACACAGTAGCAAAACCATATGAATGTGAGTTTTGTGGACAAAGATTTAGGCAGATGACAGATTTAAACTTTCACATGAGAGTCCATACTAGACCGAAATTACTTAAATGTGAGCTCTGTGGACAAAGGTTCAGCCATGAGATAACTTTAAACTTACACATGACTGTCCACACGGGACAGATACCGTTTGAATTTGAGGATTGTTGACAAAGATTTAGCCATTTAAATATATTTAAATGGACACACAAAAGTCCACAGGAACCAAGTGCTCCTTAGTTCCTCCTCCAGAAGTAAAACTTTTTAAGACTTCAGTCTAAAACTAGAGTTCGCTTTTAAACGCATCAGGAGTCAGGTTACCATAATAAGCTTGTGTTGGATCTGCTTTATTACATTCATACACCGATGGGACACGCATCAGAGGAATTGTGGGGTTCAGTGTCTCACTCAGGAACACCAGCATGTAACCGAACCCCCAGCTCTCCTATTGGAGGACGACTGCTCTAGCCTCTCAGCTACAGCTGCCCTCAGCTGAAGAAGATTATTATTTAATATATGTAAATGTCTAAAAAATAAACTATTTAATATATGTAAATAGTAATTTTTTTAGACATTTATTTTGTACAGTTACAGCTGTTTACTATATGTGCTTGTGTGACAATTGGGACAAAGCATTGAGTCAAATATATTTTTGTCAGCATAATTACAACATGTACTTATATGTAAATAAATTCCATAATTCACGGTTGAAACCTGTGCCTTCATGTTAAAAGTTGTTTTACTCTGCAAAAAGAAGCTGAGAACTTGTTTACTGATATTTTATTAAAAGCTTTGTGTGAACAATGCTATGCTAAAGAGCTCAAACCTCACAGACCATCCGCCATTTTGAGAACCAACGAGAGAAAACCCATGTCACGTCAAGGGGCCTCCCTCCCATTTTTCTTAAAAAGACATGCTGCTCTCTCCCTCACTATCCATCATTCGATTCAAACAGTCTTATATTGCCATCCGGTGGTCGAAAAAAAAGGTACTACACACCAAACAAATTAACAAACATTTCTTCTTAAATTTGACAATAATTACTGATTATTGTCAAATTTCAAAGAATATTATCGTTTATCGCAATATTTTCTGAGACAGTTAATTGCCCAGCAAAATTTGTTATTGTGACAAGCCTAGTTATTGATTAATAACAGCTGTGGGTGTTTTCTGTGTCTACCTGTCAGTACTCTACTATTTAATCTCACTTGAATCTGGACTAAATAAAGTGCTGAAACTGGAAAAACTGGTAGTTTTACATATTTACCCAGGTTTATTAGAGGTATTGGGTATTTTAAAATAGTGTGTAATTTATTATGTTGGCACAGATTTGTTTTGATTTATAAAATTTTTCCTGTTAGCAAATTCATACACAATGGACAAGACAGAAACAAACATAAAAGGTCACGTTTCAGATGATGTATGAGCTAATATGTCATAATACTGATGCAATGTAATGCCACAATCTTAAAATTTTTGGCTTCAATAATTTTAAGTAATGGCAAAACATTGGACTCATTCATTGAGTTTATTTTTATTTTTTTCTGATTACCGGTATTTATGATTTGCGGACTTTGATAAATAAAGTAAAATTTAAAGTTAACCAAAAATGTTAAAATACCTTTATCAGGTGATTGAATTTTAAATGTTTTTGATATTTTTGATGATAAACAGACTGTAGCGACTTTGATCCACAAAATAAACTCGCTGTCGGCTGAGTAGAGTTTGCTCGGTGTAACGCGTCTCCATTGACCCATGCTGAGTCCACCTTGCATTTTGTGTATTTATTAAAGCTAACACAATTATTTTTGTCATCCAGCAAACAACGCCTGTTTTAATTTACATGTTGTTCAGTTTGACAGAAAAAGATAATGATGAACGTTATGGTTCTAAATTGACATTTCTAAAGTGACAGTCAACAGAAAAGTTTGCAAAGAACCCTACTAACCCAGCACCTGGTGCCATTACCCAAACCAACTAATATGTGACCACGCCCCTCATGCAATTTACCTGCAGGTTTGGACAAATCTGAACACCTATGCCACCAAAAGCAACACAACACATAAGTAATTTGATCGTCTCTTACTGAATACAATGTTGTTCCTTTGACTTAGAACAGTTCTGATCCACATTAATCAATAACAAAAGTGATGTATGAATGAATATAAAGTTAAAATTGTCCATATTCTCTGTTTCAGTGTTTCCTGCAGATGTTCAGCAGACTCTTCTGATCAGAGGAGATGCTCCTGAAGAATGGAGGCCTGACGTGGACCAGCAGGACCCAGAGCATCTCCACATAAAGGAGGAAGAGGAGGAACTCTGGACCCAATTGGAGGGAGAGCAGCTCAATGTGAAGGAGGAGACTGATGCCAGCAGGTTTTCATTCATTGCAGTTCATGTGAAGAGTGATGATGATGAAGAGAAGCCTCTGTTCTCACAGCTTCATCAGCACCAAATGGAGGACAGAGATGTTCCAACCAGCAGCTCAGCTGACCAGATGAAAGTAGAAGCTGATGGAGAGGACTGTGGAGGAGCAGAAACCAGCAGGAACCCAGATCTAAATCCTCATGGAGATGAATCCATCTCTTCAGAGACAGAAGTGAGTGAGGATGATGAAGAGGACGATGATGGGAACAATCCTGACTCTCAGCTGGAACACTTGTCAGACTCTGGGTCAACAACTGAAGACTGTGACAAAGACTGGAAGGAGAGCAGAGCTCCTGAGTCAGCTGTAAACTCTGTCAACAAATGTTTCAGCTGCTCTGAGTGTGGTAAACAGTTTCTGCACAACCGGTCACTTCAGAGACACATGACATGTCATTCAACAGTAAGACGTTCAAGTTGTTTGGCTCAGAAGAAAAGTGTAGAGACGCACAGGAAAGTCCAGGCAGGACCAAAAACGTTTAGTTGTGATGAATGTGGTAAAAGATTTAACAGAAAAGAAAATTTAATTTTACACTTGAGAATCCACACAGGAGAAAAACCATTTTTATGTAATATTTGTGGGCATAAATTTAGTAGAAAGACAAATTTATTCTTACACTTGAGAGTCCATACAGGACAGAAGCCGTTTAAATGTGAGTTTTGCGGACATCGATCTAGTCAGAAGTCAAGTTTAAACAAACACATCAGGATCCATACAGGATATAAACCATATAAATGTGAGGATTGTGGACAGAGATATACCAACAATACTAGTTTAATCTCACACATGAGAGTCCACACTGGACAGAAACCTTATGAATGTCAGGAATGTGGACAAAGATTTAGCCAAAAGTCAAGTTTAAACAGACACACGAGAATCCACACAGGAGCAAAACCATATGAATGTGAGTTTTGCGGACAAAGATTTAGGCAGACGACAAATTTAAACTTTCACATGAGAGTCCATACTGGACAGAAACTACTTAAATGTGAGATTTGTGGACAAAGGTTCAGCCATGAGATAACTTTAAACTTACACACGACTGTCCACACGGGACAGATACCGTTTGAATTTGAGGATTGTTGACAAAGATTTAGTCATTTAGATATATTTAAACAGACACACAAAAGTCCACAGGAACCAAGTGCTTGTTAGTTCCTCTAGAAGTAAAACTTTAAGACTTAAGTCTAAAACTAGAATCCACTTTTTAAACGCATGAGAACCAATAATGGAGGGAAAACAGTTCAACTGAATTTTGGGTGTTTTCAACAAGAAAATTGTGTAAGTGTGCTCCGCTCCAAGTAACTGGAAATTGCAGTTTTGATATATTTTTATTTCCACTGGTACATCTGAATATGGATATGTATGATGGAGCTTTAGGGCCACACTAAGAAAATAAAAATTAAAGCCATAAAATTACGAAAATAAAGTCATAGTATTACGAGAATAAAGTCTTAATATTATGAGAATAAAGTTGTACGAGACTTGTCTTTCAGCTCTCGTTTATTTATTTTTCCACGAGACGGATCCACGACACGACCTGTCAATCAGTTCAGTAGGCGTGTCAGCAAATGACCAATCCGAAGCTAAATGAGTGGTAATATCCGAACTCTGACACCACAAAGCAGGGTTTACCATAGAGCTGTCATTTCTAACCCGAAGCCCGGCCCCACCCCACCCGGATTTGGACCGGGCCGGGCCATGATAATGTGCTTAATGTGTGGGCCTGGTCGGTGTCTGCCTTTTTATTACGTCAGGGAAGCGCGTGGCCGACGATCCAATATATGCAATGTCTTGCCATACTACACCAGCCGCACATGGCCATTTCACCGCACACTCACCGGCCAGTTGAAAGAGGTAAAAAGTTAAGTTAAGCTTCAACTGGACTACTGCCAGCGATCCATCAGCCCAAATGGACGTTCATTCAGCCGCTGCACTTAGAGGACGCACGCAGCCGACGACCCAAACGGGTGAGAAAACAAAATATCCATCATGTCAGAGCATGGTCCAATGCAGGGGAAGCATTTAATGCACATTTACGGCTCCTCAGGTCCGATCTTCTGCTCCCTTTACTCAGGCGCGCACGTCTGCCGACCGTTCATAATGGTGGTAAGCTTAATTAAAAATGGGGGCTTTATGTTTCGGGTTCGGACCTGTAATTACTGTTAATTCGTCAGGTTGGGTGGGGTTCGGAGATTATGGCTGGGGTCGGTTCGGATTATTTGGACCCAAGTGCATCTCTAGTTTACTGCCAAATAAGGAGATAATCTGTCAGCACATCAGCATCCGATTATTATCAGTATCAGGACTTTGAACCTGCTCACAGTCAGGTGGTACGCTCTGATGGGCTGCTGCAGCTCTCTGCAGGTAAGGAGCATTTAGCTTCAGATCTGTCATTTGCTGATGCCTACTAGATTGATTGACAGGTCGTTGTGGATCTGACTCGTGGAAAAAAATAAACGAGAGCTGCAAAAGAAAAAGTCTCGTATGACTTTATTCTCGTAATATTATGGCTTTTAAAAAGATTTTTCTTAGCGTTGCCCTAAAGTTCCGTCGTAGATAGGTGTCCCTCATTGCTGGTAGTATGAATATCCGGCCTTCTTGGAATCCTTGGCAAGGTTGCTGGAAGGTACACCAGCTGGGACCTCCTTTATTCTGCTGGGGGACTTCAATGCCCACGTGGGTAATGACGGTGTGACCTGGAGGGGTGTGATTGGGAGGAACGGGCTCTCTAATCTGAACTCGAGCGGTATTCTG